CGTGACACGTACCTTTATCGCTCTCTACTCCTTTCTCAAGGCACAAAAGTCGACTCTCCACTTTCAAACCAGGAACCAGACATACCAGTGGTCCTTTTCAGCTGCTCCACGAGCGCAGGAGGTGTTCACCAAGGGGCGCAGAGCAGCTTCCATTCCAGAAAAAGAGCTAAAATACGAGTGAAACTGCATGCCTGTGTCGTCAGTTTAATCCGACGAACTGCGGCTCTCCTCGCCACTCCACACAACAACAAAAGACTCGTGCACACTGGGAGAGAGAGCGTTTTCTCTAACTTGCTTTCAGTAAGGGGACTGGAGAACTGCTCTCCAACAAAACGGACAAGAGAATATATTATGGGGACGTGGAGAAAAGAGGGGAAAAAGTGGGGTGAGGGATACTAAAAAGGTGCCTGTGCAAAGTACAACAAGGCCTGAACAGGACGGGAGACAAAGACGAACGACGGGGAAATACGACGGACACAAGACGGCAACCAGACAAATACAACGGAGACAAGACGAGAAAATGTGTATGCAACGGGGACGAGATGATAAATAATGCATACGGAGGGGACAGAAGACGGTGCAGCGGCATGTACTAAGCATTCCCAGACAGCGCAGCGGCGTGTACCACGGGTCAGCAGCATGTACGACACAGAGACACATACGCAGCCACGTGTACGACAAAAGAGACACAAGCGCAGCCACATGTACGACAAGAGACACCCGCGCAGCCGCATGTACGACACAGAGCTACAAGCGCGACCACATGTACAACACTATCCCCAACCGAAAAAAAACATCCACTCCCGTGGATGGAAGTGTATATATATAAAAAAACAGGAGAAGACAGACCGGAGAAGAAGACAGAAAGACCGGGGAAATGAAATGTGAAACAACATAAATAGGCGACAATAAAACACAAAAGAAGTGGGGTCACGACTGTTGAACGCATGACGAGTAGGCCAGGAGGGTTAACACCAGTCGGGAGCCCCGCAAAACTGTGCATCAATCAAATGGAACCTGCAAGCAACAGATGTTGCAGAGGACCACATGTACAACACTATCCCCAACCGAAAAAAAACATCCACTCCCGTGGATGGAAGTGTATATATATAAAAAAACAGGAGAAGACAGACCGGAGAAGAAGACAGAAAGACCGGGGAAATGAAATGTGAAACAACATAAATAGGCGACAATAAAACACAAAAGAAGTGGGGTCACGACTGTTGAACGCATGACGAGTAGGCCAGGAGGGTTAACACCAGTCGGGAGCCCCGCAAAACTGTGCATCAATCAAATGGAACCTGCAAGCAACAGATGTTGCAGAGGACCCCGGCTGGCGAGCTGTTCGACCTGTAGTTGTCCCTTTGGATCTTGATTATTTGAACAGCACCAACCTAGTACGCCACCCACCCAACAGTCGAGACAAACAAAATTACACATGCAAGAGAAAAATGCAGCTTACGCAAGATCGTTATAGCAATAAATGTCCACCAAAGGAACAACATCGGATAAGTCCTCCAAGACAGGAGGCGTAGCCGGCCGCGGTGCAGGAGAAGAGGGTGCGGATAGTGCTGACAGTGAATCAGGTGACATGCATGGTGCTGTGTGCTGTGCTGCCCGGCGGACTCTGCGGCGCTGTCTCGAGCGGCGAGACTGACGGCGCACACGGCGAAGCAACGGGAGTGCTGGAGGTGCCGGTGGACAGAGCGGGGGAGGCAACGGAGCAACCGGTAGAGAGCACTCCGACCCCGTCATGGCAAAATAGTCAGACGTCGGGGCCGCGGCGGCGCGATAACTAGAACGAGCAAAAAAAAATGACAAAAAACAACCGAAACAACTGGAGCACGCAGCCTCAAGCAATCACCACCCCTTCCACGGAAGCTGACCCTGTCCTGCCTCTAAGGCGACGTAACCCCCAGGCGACAACACACATGAACGTCTGGGTCGGGGTGTACCAGGTCGGGGCGGGGACGGAGGGGAACCCGGAGGAGACGGGGGCGTACCCGGAGGGGAACCCGGGGGTGAAGGAGGAGGGGTGGGGACCGAACCCGGGGGCTGAACCAGAACGGGAGCCGGAGCCACAGGGTGGGGTGCACCAAACGGGGCAGGCAAAAACATGGCTGGACCCCCCATAGATGGCATCGCCGTAATTTCAGGCGGAGACACTCCCTGCTGTACCCCTGGGGGAACCACTACCTTACCGTGGACAGCCCGTAACCGATCGGTGTGTACCGTTAAATGCTTAGCATGGCGGGCCGAAGGAGGGGGTCCCACCCGTACAATGGAACACACCACTCCCTTAATTACTTCTACCTGCCATGGCCCAGTCCAGGGGCGAAATAGCTTAGGGCTGGCACCCGGGGGCGGAACTGCATGGAGCCAGACATAGTCACCTGGTTGAAAACTGGGGGATTTCACCCGCCTATCATAAGTAGATTTAGCCACCCGATGTGCCACTCCCAGGCGATCCCGGACTACACCAAACGCCCTAGCCAAAGATGACCGCAAATTTGTGATATATGCGGGCAGAGGCGTAACTTGAGGGACCCCCGGGGCAGGGAGAAAAAGATCAAGGGGTAAACGGGCCTCCCTCCCAAATAGCACGAAATGAGGGGTGAATCCCGTAGCACGGTGGACACCCGTATTGTAAGCAAATTGTACCAGAGGAAGGTGGCGGTCCCAGGATGTTTGGTCGTCCGCGACATAGGCCCGGAGGGCCACCTGAATCGTGCGGTTTGCCCTCTCGACAAGACCATCTGACTGTGGCCGGTAAGGGGTGGTGCGGGACTTACAAACCCCCAACAATTTACATAAAGAGGAGATTAGGCGGCTCTCAAAATTAGGGCCCTGGTCCGAATGTAATTGGCAGGGGACTCCAAACTTCAAAAATACCCGGTCAACCAAACGGTCTGCTACGGTCTCGGCCTTCATATCCGGGAGGGGAATAATTTCTACCCACTTAGAAAAATAGTCTGCTACCACTAACACATACTTATTACCACGAGCCGTGAGGGGAAGGGGTCCCATGATGTCCATCGCCATAACTTCAAATGGGGCACCTACGCAAATAGTACCAAGCGGGGCTTTCACAGCCCTGGGCGGATCTTTACCGCGCTCGCAAGTCGTGCAGCTTTTGCAATAGAGGGCCACATCCACGGACATCCCCGGCCAATATGCTACCGATCTTAAACGGGCTAATGTACGATCCTGGCCAAAATGGCCAGAAGTGCGGCCGGCGTGCGCCTCATTTAGAAATTTGGCGTGTAAAACTGCCGGAACTACTAATTGCCGTGCTAGCGATGGCAGTGTTTCGCGGTAGAGAACTCCCTCGGTCAGAGCTAGGTTCTCAGTCTGTGACATGAGGGCGCGCACGACGGGGCTGTCACCATCCTGAATGGGCTGAGCGGCCGCCAGCCGATCTACAACTACATGGATATCCGCATCCGCCTGTTGTGCCTGAAGAATTTCGGAGACATCTGGCGTAGAAAAACTAACTGCATTTACGGACGGCTCCGCTTCAAACTGGCGACTCAAACCGTCGGCGTTTCCATGTTGCAACCCGGGGCGATGCTGTACAGTGAAATGAAACTCAGCCAGCGTGCTCAGCCATCGCGCAGTCTGTCCTGTTGGATTTTTAAAATTCATTAGCCATCTCAGGCTACCATGATCGGTGCGCAACAAAAATGGCCGTAACAGAATGTATGGTCGAAAAGTGCGGCACGCCCAAACTACCGCCAGCAACTCCAATTTGGTGATGGTATAGTTCTTTTCCGCCGCCGAACACGACCGACTTATGTACGCTATGGGGCGCTCCAGGCCATCATTAGTCACCTGTGACAGTACCGCACCTAGGCCTGAAACGCAGGCATCCGTATCCACAATAAATGGGCGCGAAAAGTCTGGAAAGGCCAAAATGGGTGCTGAACTAAACGCTGTGCACAACGTTTTGAACGCTAACTGATGAGCCTCTGCCCAGACAAATGGAGTCTCTTTTCGTAACAGGTCATGCAGTGGATGGGCCACCGACGCAAAATGCGGAATAAACCGTCGATAGTATGACGCAAATCCGAGAAATGATTGTAGAGACTTAAGAGACGCTGGCTGTTTCCATTCCTGTACCGCTTTAACTTTTCCCGGGTCCGTGGAAATCCCCTTAGCCGAGACTACATGCCCTAAGAAATGGACCTCGGCCAGCAGCAAATGGCACTTTCTAGGTTTTATCTTAAGCTTCGCTCGTCGTAATGCAGTTAGCACAGCCTCTAAACGGCGCAAGTGCTCCGCGAATGTGCGAGAAAACACAATAACATCATCGAGATACACTAGACAGTAGAGGGGGGAAAGGCCCCGCAGCACGGCATGCATCATCCGCTGGAACGTGGCAGGAGCATTGCAGAGGCCAAAGGGCATGCGGCGGAATTCGAATAGCCCTTGTGGAGTGATGAACGCCGTTTTCTGCTGATCCTTCCCCTCCACTGGCACCTGCCAGTAACCCGACTGTAGGTCTAACGTGGAAAAATACTGTGCCCCACCCAGCCTATCCAGGGTATCGTCAATCCTAGGCAAGGGGTACGAATCCTTGTGCGTGGCATCATTTAATTTACGGTAGTCGACACAGAACCTAATTGAACCATCTGGTTTTTGTACCAATACAATCGGACTAGCCCACGGGGACACGCTAGGGGATATTATACCCTTGTCTAACATTTTCTCGACCTCTTCGGCCACAATCTTGACCCTGGGAGGGGGGAGGCGTCTCGGCCCCTGACGAATTGGGCGTGTAGCGCCGGTGTCGATGCAATGAGTCAAGAGGGGGGTCTCTCCCACATCACAATCATCTATGGCTATGACATCGTTAAAACCGTTTAGTAAACTGACCAGAGCTTGGCGTTGTTCCGCAGTGCCAGCAAACCGAGAGAGATCAAAGCGATCCGCTGGTGTTGAATCGGACGTCGCTGACTGCACGCCCACTGCCACACCCTCGTCTGTTGAGACATCCGGCCTAGGGTCCTCCACCGGTAGGAACTGCCCTAGATGCATACCACGCTCCAACCACACCGGCACATCAGACACATTGGTTACACACAAGGGGACACTACCCGAAGGAGATACAGCGCACACAGCACGGGGTAGGGCATACCCCAGATCAGAATCAACAACAGCTTCTACCAGACCAATCATCTCGGGAGGGGCGTTGACTGCGCCCCGCAACAGCAATTGTGACCATGGGGGAATTTCCACAGCAGACACTAAGGAGATGGAGTAGCCCAGTTCCGGCGGAGCAGCAGGGGGGCAGACCCTGGGAGGGACCACCGGGGTAGGGGACTACACAGGCCACGTGATGCCACCCCGGACAATAAACGCAATGATAAAACTAAAAGCTAACGCGAGTTTGCACACTAATATCAGCCGAGCTGAACCGCAAACACTTGCTATTAAAAGCAACAGGGTCGAAAACCCAAACCACAACGTGCTCTGCACGTCACCGCCGAACCTTGCGGCATGAACCGGAACTACATCCCCCCGTCCCCTAGACAATGGGACGGTGTTTCCTGCTAACTTTAAACGGGGTGACCCATCCAGGTGTAGCGAAAACCCATGGGCTGCCAAAATGTCGGCACCCAACAAACACTCCTCAGTTAACCCCGCGACAGCTAAAACACGGGCGGAAAACGAAATATTGCCAAACTTAAATGTCAGGGGTAAACAGCCCTTCATGTCAAGGGTACCCCCGCCTGCAGTGTACAGTGCCGACACACCCAACTCTGAAGCGGGTCGTAATAAATGCTCCGCATGCAATTTCTGCACTACCGCAAAATTCACCAAGGTAATGGCCGCACCCGTGTCGACCAGACATGATACCACCGAGTTACACACATCAGTACTTAACTTACCGGGCGCGAAGAGACTGGTGCCAGCACGGTGGATGTAGAAGGGTACCGCATCGGTGACGGCCGTGACAGCACCCACCGGGAGGGCATCCGAGGACTCGACCGGAATAGACGGAGGGGAGGGCAGTGGAGCGGCAGGTGGAGTGCAGAGATGGGCCTCCGCCGGTGAATGCTCGAAGGCACATATGTCACACACATCACACGCATCAGACACAGAGGCAGCATTAGCAGGACATCCTACATCTGGGACCGAAACAATACCACCCTCAGGCGCCGGGGACAACAGGTCCGGACACTCGGGCGCAGCCGAAGCTGCCAAATTCTCGGTTTCCCCCAAAGACAAAGGGAGGAAAGGGTCACACAATTCCATGGTATCATCGGTAAAGATCGGCAAAGCCACAGCAATACACTCTTCATCACATTCATCAGTTGGCTGTGGTTCCATGGTCGAGGCGGCAGGAAGACCCGCACCAGCCGCCTCGCCTAGTTTAAATCCTGTTGAGGGTGGGGGAGCCTACCCGACCCCTGTTGTGGCTTTTCGGGCGCCTGGCGCTTAGTGGAAAATGGTTGTCGGCGGCCTTGCGGCTGCGGCCGCCACTGCCGGCACTCGGCCCTAATATGCCCTAACTTCCCGCATTCATAACAACGGGGACCCTTACCCCTCTGGTAGGACCCCGGATCACCCCTGGTTTCACACAAAGTCTCCAGGGGACGGGTTTGGGTGGCGCACAATTTCTCGAGACTATGGAGCCGAGACTCTACCTCAGGTGCCGCGGCCGCTACGAAGACCGGCTCACTAGCGGGGTGCAGCCTATCCTGAGTTTCCAGAACTACCGCTTTCTGGACCGCTTTCAGTAAGGTTGTTGGTTCGTGGTCCCCCACCCGTCGTCGCATTTCTGGGTCTAATGCGTCAAGAAAAGCCCGGACTGAAACCGTGTCCGCAATGGTGGAGGGGGCCCCCGGGTAGGCTTTTGCCACTAAGACTTGGATGGCGTCCCTGAGTTCCGTTAGGGTTTCGCCCACCCGCCGTTTGCGAGCTTGGAGCTCGGTTTGGCGTAACAGTTCCTTCCCCTGGTCCCCAAACCTAGCCTGCAATGCCTGCTCAATGGTTCCTCTATCTCCGCGTTCGGTTGCGGTCAGGGACTGCAGCATCAAAGCAGCACTGCCGGTGAGGCTTTTACACAGGATAACCCGGGCCATTAGCTCGAGTTTTTGCCTTGACTCTGCATCCACTGTATCGTTTGGTTGCGCCACTGGAACATACCCATTAGCTTCTAGGCATAGCACAAAGTCGTTTAGGAAGGACTGCAGGTCCTCCCTTGATGAGCCCGCAAATGGTTTGGGCATGAGCCACTTGCCCGCGCCCTCAACAGTGACCTTACTCTGGGCTGGCTGAGACATAATGACTATACCAGTACGAGACCCCGATCAGGTGGTGTTACGAAACAGTAATTTTTTTTTTCAAAGTGTCAAACAATTTTTTTTTTTTTCAAAGTGTCAAACAATTTTTTTTTTTCAAAAAAAATATTTCTAACAACACGGCATTCTGCAGGGCCAGTAGTTACAACGACACAAGATTTACGAAAGACAGATTGCACTTTTAGACCTACTGGCTGGATCTACTGGAAAGTAGGCCTATAAAATTACGGTACATACACTCAATGAACTATCGAAGGGACCACGGACCTAAGCCGGGACCCAATACCATGCACGCTTGGACAAGAAACGACACACAAAGCAAACTAGCAAGACCGGGTGCTCACCTGAGGAGGCGCGCCAATGCGGGGCCTGGTCGTTCGTAGTACGTCATCGATACGGAGGTACGGCGAGGAGAAGAAGAATACGAGCTGACGGCGACACGTCGACGAGCTTCAGGGTCGTGGATACGATTGGTTGGGCGCCAAATGTCGTCAGTTTAATCCGACGAACTGCGGCTCTCCTCGCCACTCCACACAACAACAAAAGACTCGTGCACACTGGGAGAGAGAGCGTTTTCTCTAACTTGCTTTCAGTAAGGGGACTGGAGAACTGCTCTCCAACAAAACGGACAAGAGAATATATTATGGGGACGTGGAGAAAAGAGGGGAAAAAGTGGGGTGAGGGATACTAAAAAGGTGCCTGTGCAAAGTACAACAAGGCCTGAACAGGACGGGAGACAAAGACGAACGACGGGGAAATACGACGGACACAAGACGGCAACCAGACAAATACAACGGAGACAAGACGAGAAAATGTGTATGCAACGGGGACGAGATGATAAGTAATGCATACGGAGGGGACAGAAGACGGTGCAGCGGCATGTACTAAGCATTCCCAGACAGCGCAGCGGCGTGTACCACGGGTCAGCAGCATGTACGACACAGAGACACATACGCAGCCACGTGTACGACAAAAGAGACACAAGCGCAGCCAAATGTACGACAAGAGACACCCGCGCAGCCGCATGAACGACACAGAGCTACAAGCGCGACCACATGTACAACACCTGAGTACACGAGTACATGTATGAGTACATGCAGAAAATAGTCAATTTCAGCGTTTCTGCTCCAAACAGCAGCTAGCTTCGACTAGAAACGAAGATTACACCAAAGGATCAAACAACAACCATTTTCTGCAGCTTTTTTGCAGATGGCTTCCTTGTGCTTGGCCCAGCACGCCAAAAATCACACCTCGGAGGAGTACAAAAATTACAACTCTCAGATGTCCTCGATTGCTGGCCATGTCATACTTTCTCGCAATTCTTACAATACAGCCGATTATGCCTGAAACCATGCCGATAATTCCCGGAAATGCTCATAAATTTAAGCTTGAAAGTCAGTTTTTTCTTCGTATCCCGTGGGGAATTTGAAAAATAAGTTTACAGTCTGTATCGGCTACAGCGTACCCTTTTGATTTCCGTGATTTTATCACTATAACCGATGCATCACTATATGCAAGAGTACATAACCAAGAGTGTGCAACTGCCTGCACAACCTCTATGCTGTGCTGCGACGGCAGAACTTCACATCACGTGACATGGTTCAAAAGGTTATGCTGGCAAACAGTGCAAAGTGACCACAAGAGAGTTGTACCCAAAGCTGGGCTGCGTACAACCCAGTATCTATCATGCACTAGAGTGCACGGGTTCATCACGTGATGTGAAGTTCTGCCGTCGCAGACCCCATAGCTGGAGTTGCACACTCTTGGGTCATGTACTCTTGCTATATGCGATAGGATCGATTATTTTTCGATCCACACATGAAAGGCAAGGAAATACTTCCAGCATGGCGTTTTGACAAATAAGCATTCTGTATAGTTGACGGTGCCCGCATTTCCATAAAAAATTCTGTTATGCACATATACATGTATCACTATACAAAATAAGCAACGTGAAGAAAGTAAAAAAATAGGGCGTTTGATATTATTGCTACATGTATTTTAAAGTTATCACTATTGCCGATAATAATATAGTGTGTTATGCATGTTTTGATTCTTTGTTGCCATCATAATATCCGATATATCATTACATCCGATAATATTGGTTATAGTGATATTTTCACTGGATAAAATACGTTTTGCTTTTGATATTTCGTACCAATATCACTGTAGCCGATATATTCTTTTATCCGGTCACTCTATAGCCGATACAGACTGAACATCTAAAATCAAATTTTTACTCAATCTGCGGACAGCATGCTGTTTCGTTCTTTGTGAACTCATCAGCGCAGCACAGAGGAAATGAGGCCGAACCTGATAGGAATGAAAATAAAAATTTCCAATCGGGCCCGAACGTACCTTGCCAGAGTGCTCAAACTGACAAGTCAGTGAGCTCTGCGTAATCTAAAATCTAAGTTAGATGTCTGGTGCTCCTAAAACACCACGTCACGGTTCTACAGCATCCATAGCCTAAGTCCGCATTCAGCTGCCACACCACGCTATGAGCAAACTACCACAGGACTACCGGTACTTTTCCTCGGCAAGGAATGGTCATAAATAGGCACCGGGCAAATATGCTCGAAAAATCACCCATCCCGCCAATTATTCCCGCGAAACCACCGATAATAGCGAGGTTTTGCATTCTGAAATTCGGCAAAAAGATTCGGCACGCGGGATCGAGGTCGAAAATGCACGCGAAGTTTCGGCATGTTTGTTCGGAAAAAGCTCACTTTGCCGAAAATATTTTTCGGATGAATTTTCTGTAGAAGAGCGCTAGCGCGTGATTTATTCAAAGAGGTTTCTTATCTCGGCATCGCTTCCCAGGCGTCTTTGGCGACATCAGCGTCGTCAGCTACCTCTGATTGCTCCTCCACTGCTTGTCTACTAGTACTCTCTTTCGCCTGGAGTGTCCTCACCGTCATCTGTGTGGCTGAAAAGACTATGGCGATACTCATAAAATTTGACTTGGCCATGGAGTTGGTTTTTCTGAGGCGACTGAGGAGACAGGTTCGGCCCTCGGCTCTTAGGGCGATCAAAGTTCGTTGGAATCAGCAAGAATAGGAGCACGGGACAGGATGTTGCTGATGCTAGGGCTCACGAAATGAAAACACATCATTTTCGACTTGCAAAACAAACGTTGGTGCGAAAATTCGACATTTTGATGTTCGACAAATGACCGAAGAGCGCAGAACCGAAATTCGGAATGCAAAACCACTGATAATTCTGATGTGATTTTTGCACCCTAAAATGCTTGATTTAGTGCCGGCATATTTGCCGGGTCCCTAGAGTCCTCCGCCTGGGTAGAGTGCTCAATATTCGTTCCGAACGGTTCGCTTAGAGCTATCTTACACACGGCACAGAGCACCAAGCATCGTTCGTTGTAACTGTGGGTTTTTTAGTTTTTACGTGCACGTACATCGGCGGTCGTGGCCAAAGAATTCCGACCCGGAAGCCGAAAACAGCGCCAAGGCTTGGTGTGACCGCTGCGGTCCTTCGTCGTCCGTACATGATGTATATCTACAGGACTGGTAATCTAAATGGAAACGAAACGCTACTTTAGACTCGCGGGTCGGATTTCTTTGGCCACGACGGTACTGTCGTTTGCCTGCAAGAGTACAGTCAACTTACTTCGCTCATAACGACACTCGGCGGGGGCATCAAAAAAGTGTCCTTACTCGCGAAGTGTCGTTATACCCGAAGTCTCATTATATGTATTACAGTTGGATGGGACTTTGCTCTGGGAATGGAAATTCTGTCGTTGTTTGCGAATTGTCGTTATAACCGCAGTCGTTATTAGCAAAGTTGACTTGACACAAGCTCTCAAGACTGAGTGTGCAACTTTGGATGCTCTTTCTGTGGGGTCTGCCGACGGCGAAATCTCACATCACGTGTTCACATACGTTCCCAGCTCGGAATATAGGCGAGCGGCGAACTAATCTAATACAGTAAGACCTGTAACTAAAGACCACCATGACTAGCGACCAGCCTGCTACTACAGTAAAACCTGTAACTAAAGACCACCGTGACTAGCGACCAGCCTGCTACTACAGTAAAACCTGTAACTAAAGACCACCGTGACTAGCGACCAGTCTGGTACTACAGTAAAACCTGTAACTAAAGACCACCGTGACTAGCGACCAGCCTGCTACTACAGTAAAACCTGTAACTAAAGACCACCGTGACTAGCGACCAGCCTGCTACTACAGTAAAACCTGTAACTAAAGACCACCGTGACTAGCGACCAGCCTGCTACTACAGTAAAACCTGTAACTAAAGACCACCATGACTAGCGACCAGCCTGCTACTACAGTAAAACCTGTAACTAAAGACCACCGTGACTAGCGACCAGCCTGCTACTACAGTAAAACCTGTAACTAAAGACCACCGTGACTAGCGACCAGTCTGGTACTACAGTAAAACCTGTAACTAAAGACCACCGTGACTAGCGACCAGCCTGCTACTACAGTAAAACCTGTAACTAAAGACCACCGTGACTAGCGACCAGCCTGCTACTACAGTAAAACCTGTAACTAAAGACCACCGTGACTAGCGACCAGCCTGCTACTACAGTAAAACCTGTAACTAAAGACCACCATGACTAGCGACCAGCCTGCTACTACAGTAAAACCTGTAACTAAAGACCACCGTGACTAGCGACCAGCCTGCTACTACAGTAAAACCTGTAACTAAAGACCACCGTGACTAGCGACCAGCCTGCTACTACAGTAAAACCTGTAACTAAAGACCACCGTGACTAGCGACCAGCCTGGTACTACAGTAAAACCTGTAACTAAAGACCACCATGACTAGCGACCAGCCTGCTACTACAGTAAAACCTGTAACTAAAGACCACCGTGACTAGCGACCAGCCTGGTACTACAGACCACCATGACTAGCGACCAGCCTGGTACTACAGACCACCGTGACTAGCGACCAGCCTGGTACTACAGACCACCGTGACTAGCGACCAGCCTGGTACTACAGACCACCGTGACTAGCGACCAGCCTAGTACTACAGACCACCGTGACTAGCGACCAGCCTGGTACTACAGACCACCGTGACTAGCGACCAGCCTGGTACTACAGACCACCATGACTAGCAACCAGCCTGGTACTACAGACCACCGTGACTAGCGACCAGCCTGGTACTACAGACCACCGTGACTAGCGACCAGCCTGGTACTACAGACCACCGTGACTAGCGACCAGCCTGGTACTACAGACCACCGTGACTAGCGACCAGCCTGGTACTACAGACCACCGTGACTAGCGACCAGCCTGGTACTACAGACCACCGTGACTAGCGACCAGCCTGGTACTACAGACCACCATGACTAGCGACCAGCCTGGTACTACAGACCACCGTGACTAGCGACCAGCCTGGTACTACAGACCACCGTGACTAGCGACCAGCGTGGTACTACAGACCACCGTGACTAGCGACCAGCCTGGTACTACAGACCACCGTGACTAGCGACCAGCCTGGTACTACAGACCACCGTGACTAGCGACCAGCCTGGTACTACAGACCACCGTGACTAGCGACCAGCCTGGTACTACAGACCACCGTGACTAGCGACCAGCCTGGTACTACAGACCACCGTGACTAGCGACCAGCCTGGTACTACAGACCACCGTGACTAGCGACCAGCCTGGTACTACAGACCACCGTGACTAGCGACCAGCCTGGTACTACAGACCACCGTGACTAGCGACCAGCCTGGTACTACAGACCACCGTGACTAGCGACCAGCCTGGTACTACAGTAAAACCTGTAACTAAAGACCACCGTGACTAGCGACCAGCCTGGTACTACAGTAAAACCTGTAACTAAAGACC